TAATATAGGTGTTCCAAGTATCCTCGCTCGGAGAGGCTATATGGGCGCGCCATGCCAGATCCCTCAATCCCATGCATTTCCGGGTCCTGCTTCTGAGAAACGACTTCGCCTTGTCGGGTCGGGGGATTTTGGTTTTAGATGCCAAAGCTACGAGCGTGTTGAATTTGTTGACAAATTTCCCGCATGCCACTTCTGGGGACCACTCAGTTAAGAAGGACCAGCTCGTAGCACTAATGAGTTCTGCCAGGTTATCGTAGTTGGTTACGACGTAAGATTTCACGTTGCTTTCATTAGGATAATCTGCATAACACAAGTATTGGAACAATAGTGTCGCGTGATCGCTGCGGCCCAAGGGAGTGGATGTGGTTACTACGTCAATCATCAGTTCTTCATTGGTGAAAACGAGGTCCAAGATGGCCGGTTTGTTTCCTGTCCTGAATCGCGTTGGGGATGTGACATGGTTGTACAGCGGTGATCCTGCAATTAGCTCTTGTAGATCGGCTTTGAATGGTTCACTCATGGTGGCTGGGGTTTCTAGGCCGTGCAGATTGAAGTCCCCTACCAGCAAAACATGACTGTATGACCGTTCCAGTAAATTCTTCAAAGCAGAAGACAGGGCCTTGTCCATTTCTAAAGTGGACATTGGTGGACGATACACGATGGCCAATAAGCATTTATCGCCGTGCTTTAGGTGTAGGCAGCACCATAAGGAGTCTACGGTTTGGATCCCAGGGTCGTTCATGAGCTCGATGAGAAGGTCTGAACGGTAGTAGAGAATTACACTGCCGCCCTTGGTGGGTCGATCGTTACGCAGTAGTGACATGCCTGGTAGTTCGATCTCAGCGTCACTAATCATGTCGTTTAGCCACGTCTCAGTTATCATGATGAGGTCCCAACACATTGAGCTATGACGAGATCGAAGTTCTGCCAATTTGCTTAGAAGCCCTTGGGCGTTTGTATAAAGGCAATTGAGAACTACGGATGTTAGAAGCGTGTTTGAACATACGTTGGTTTTCCAAAAATTTACGCCTACCCTTGTTGGGTCGGCTGAGGGACGTTTTTTTGATGTGTCTCTTGCAAACTTCCCGGGGCCGTTACGGTGGGAAGCCTACAGCGCCCTGAGTCGATCTCCAGCAGACTGTCTTTCCCTTCTTCATCGAGCAGCTGGGGCGTCTCATTGTGTTCCGGTACAGAAATGCAGACAGCGGGGATCGCGATTACTTCTTGCTGGTTTCGTGTTCCCTTATCCATTGGTGGCCTGGTTCCAACCGCCTTCAGACGTATTTCTGATGGCAATTTAGTGCGGAACTTGTGCCAATTCCCGAGCACCGTTTCAACCATTTGTTTGGAGTAAAGCAAGACTTTAAGCACTCGTGGACCACTTCCTTTGTAGTTTGGCGATAATGGGTAACCCGATGTTGAGCTGGCAATTACGTCGTGGAGAGATAGTGCTTCGCGGATATACCGCCACTCTTCCAAGTCATGAGCTTTGACCTGCGACTCTTCCGGTGCCTGTGTTTCGGGGACACCATGGACAAAGATGGATCTTTCATCAGTTTGCTTGCGGTGTTCTCCAGGATTTTGTTTTCGTTGTCGACGCTCACTCCAAGGTATATCCGGGAATATGCGAACTCCGCATGATGAATCACGAAGACGGTGAGCTGACAAGAGGACTGTCTCTGCTTCGTTACCGGACTGCAATGTCACTTGAAGTAGTCTCGGCTCGCCATAGTGAAGTGAGTTGGGGTGGCGGATGATACGACATAAGCTAGCCTGTTTAGGCTGCATTCCAATTGCTCGGCATATGGATTCCCACTGTTTCATGTCGTCCAGTAGTCTATCTTTGATAGAGTTTGCCTTTGACTCAGGCACGTTAGAGCATATTATCTTCATCGAACTCTGCATCTTCTTGGAGTTCGTACATTTGGATACCGGCATGCCTCCTATTACCGGTGGCGTGGGGGGAAATCTTTTCGTGTACACATTGTTATTAGTGTCGCCTCTAACAACCTTCGGTGTGCTTGCAGACACGCTGGTTAAATTTGCCACGGGTGGACAATCAGCGACGATATTTGCATAGGTAGTCGGACTACCTGTGTTATTCGGTAAATCGGAATGCACTGGAGTATCATGAGCCACAGCCATATCACTCGGGAAAACCGAACTCTGCAACGTTGGATTCGCCGGGGTTGGCAGTCTTTCATAAACTCTCTGTTTGCAGCCTATCGTGAGTGGGGTTGCGGGATGTATGCTCTCTACTAAACAATCGTTTTGACTGGTTTGTGCCAGGTGTGGGCATACGGTTAGACAACGTGAGTCGAGTGCGGCACCAGCTGGTTGCGATCTACCCGCTGTTTCAGCTGTCGCTAGTCGCACAATTTGGGTTAGTTTGTCACATTTCTCTGTCAGTAGAGCAACGCACCTCACGAGCGGGTTGGCCATGCACTCAGCACAGAACCAAATGGAGTCTGATGTGCAAGGTCGTTCTTTCATTTTTGCCACACCTGCGCACCGGGGATGAAAGCTCTTTTCACAGATATTACAAGTTATTGCAATCCGGATTGTTTTAGAGCACGATTTCAAAGCACAAATCACTTTCGTTTGCTGTTGCGTGGGCCGACGAGCACTTGTTTTCCTTGTAGCTGTACTACGAACCATTGCCGAATTTTGCAGTTTCGTCGTGAATGGCCAATCGATGAGATCTCCACAATTAGCAAGAGATCCTCAATCAAATTTGCACAAATAGAAAAATACACCAAATGAAATATATTGGTGCACAATTCACACAGAAAGATAACGCAAAACACAGTAATTCCGAAGCAAAAGTGGAATCCAGCACGTGAATCCAAAAATCCGCGGCGTCCGTGGGTACATCCAAGGTATATCTTCGCGCAGACGGTGTTCGACGGCTTCTTCAGTTGCCGTACATAGGACCTTTCAAATTGCTGCGCCGTGCGAATAAGACGTACCCGATCGACCGCGGTGGCCGACGCGTGGTCGTCACCATCGAACGTCTGAAACCAGCCTTTATGGAAGAAACGACTTCACCTAGTAGTGCTTCGTGCGACGTCACAACCCCGTACCAACTTTCAGCATCCTAGTGTAGTTCAACCAGACCACGATCCCGGTCTACAAGCATCATCCGTTCCGACATCTCCCGATTCTAGCCCGTCGCCTCCCACTAACAATGGCCGTGGTCGAGAGGTGCGTAAGCCCGTTCGTTTTTCCGACTATGTATAGTGTAAATACATTTAGGTTTGTAGATATTGTGTATACTTGCCTCGTTTTTGGTTGATTAAGCTTTTGAAAAAATCAAGAACTTCCGGAAAACCTTTTTCTAAAAAACATTCAAAAACCCAAAAATCTAAACATGCAGATCATTCGTTTGTTCTCTCTGGCGTTTTATGCGCGTGTTTTTCTGTTCCCTTGTCTCTACATCTCCCAACCCTCCACTTCGATCGACTGGTCCACAAGAACAATGTTTTCGAGGATCGGCGCAGTCAACGAAGGTCCTGACGCGAACATTGGTCGTTTCTCCGCAGGATGGTGTCCACTTCTTGGGACGATGGTCGTTTCTTCGTGGGACGACGGTCGTTTTGGCGCGCGGGGGTGGGACCACTCCCAAGCGCACCGTTTGGCAGCATCGAAGGTTGAGGCCCTGTCGGCCGTTTTCTGGGCTAGCCGGTATTTTGTAATCCGATAAGCCCGCTTCAACGGCTCGCCGAAATGCACCCTGCCCTGCCCTGCAATCAATAAATAATAATAATGCTCACTCATTCTTACTCGGCATGATTTTGCCCTGCGAACCTCGATTCAGCCGTCATTTTCGATACCGAAGGCTTCTTATGTTCAGCCTTCTAGGGAGAACTCTCTAGCGCTCATAAAGATAACTGCTATCATTGTTGACCGACCGTACGTTATTCTTTCTTGTCTTAAGCTTCCTTACAACGGGCTCGTGACTTGACGGTCTTGTAAATTCCCGCGCTAGCGTGTTTCTCTTGTCTCGCTTCATCCGTCCGCGTCTTCTCGTATCCCGACGAATACAGTCCGCTGTGTCCGACTCCAATTGCCTTCTGACATCCGCGCTTAACTTCTTGCACCATCTCGGGCTAGTATTTACTAGTCCTACACGTATGAACCTGAGATGGGATCCACCGAAAACAAATTTATTCGCTAAATCGTGTTTCTGATGTCAACGCCTGGGAAAGTTTTGCTTATACAATATGGGCACAAAATCTGCTTATACGAGTAATGCATGCCGATCTCGTTACTCGTTGTTTGTATTCCGGCTATACCAACAATGTTCATCATTTAAAGCTTGCTAGTCATCGCAGGTATTTCAGTTTGTCTGCCATCTGTTCATAATCTGACACAGAAGGCGACCGCAGGTTGCAGCTGGGAGTCGCAATTCACGTAACTGAACGGTTGTGTTGACAATTATGAGTAGTTCATTCCTGTCTAACATTTTCACAACGCCACGCATTTCCTTCATCTGACGATAATTTCCTCATCAACAGACGTCGGGTTATAGTCCTGATAGTTATCAGAATGAGCCAATTGACATCTACGTTTATTTATCTGTATATTCATTTATATACATATAACGTTCCTGCTTTCAACCCTAACCGGAGCGTAGGTTAAGGCAGAGACTTGAGCTGCAGTTTTATGTTTACATCCGATGACATCGTTCGATTGTCTTATGTGGCTTTGACACAGATGGAAGTAGCGCTATTTGATTTCAGCATCTGGAAAAGCAATTATCACTGCATTCATGGAGGTCTTCACAAAATATCGTAAACTCAAATCAGGCAGCAACAGCTTCATTATTGCAAACATACTAACCTTAGTCCGTCTATTTTTCTGTAACAAGATTTAAATACAAGGCGGATAAGTTGTCCACTTTGGTGCGCCAAGTATGCAGTTGATAAAACATGCCGGGAACATTCAAAATAGTGCCGCCTCCGTAGTACGTAAGTAAGTAACAGTTCTTTATCTATTGCAAGAATTCTCTTTGGATCATCCACACCTGATTAATGAAGCACCAGTACGCATTAGTTCTCAGGAATATCGAAATGTATGTTTATTGTACACGGTAAACGACCGCTTTTCCTATGATTCAGAAGAGTTTTCACACAGGATGTTTGTCTGGGCATATGGGCCATCACATTCTTACTCAACGCCGACAACACATTTCTTATCACAGTGCGTGGTGTAGCACCCACCACTCTCATGTCTAGCGTTATTTTGCTTCTGGCGCCACTGGCTTCTGTTTTTTAGGACATGAGTCATGAAAATGCGCGTTGGGTTGTTGTAAAATGGTCATCGCGTGTCTTCATCAGTGAGTGACACTTCATAGGTCGAATGTTCCTGCATCTCGAAGTAATGATTCCATCTGTAGTGCAAAAAGCGAGGTATTGAAACCTCAAGTACATCAAAACTCCGTTGCTCATCTGACTTATTGATTACCATTGATAACGTTACAAAAAGAAATAGCAATATGTGTTGACATTAAGCGCTCAATATTGTTTTGCTAATAATAGGGTGCCTCATGCAAAACATATTATTGTCACGAATTCCAAAACAGCAAGAAAGAATATCATTGTAATTCTACTTGCTGGACCCATTCATTCCACGTACTCTAGTCAACTGTTTGCAGAGCACTCGCGGGTTAATTCGGCTACACACACAGACAGTAAAAGAGCAATATCATTGGTCAAACGTTGGCAATCTAAAGTCATTTGATGCCAGTCAGGGTTCCGCTCAGCGGGACGCGGTCACCAAAATCATCAGGGCAAGACAAGGCCGGCCATGAACTCCATCTGTTCACACCAAGTATGTTGGAGCCGCCTAATCGCTGCGGCTTCGTCAAACTGAATTGCTGTCTGTTTAGTATTCTAAATCGATTATGGGTGCATTGAGCGATCGAGTAAATGCTTAGCAATCGAACTACCATATTTGCGCTTTCACCATGGAGCCATTGAGTTTGAAATTAGTCACCTTAATAACCTCCGTCACCAATTTGTTACGCCGAGACGAAATCAGAAAAGACAGCTGCGCAATAAAGCGGTTTTTCGCGTAAATGGCAAGAACAACTGTAATCCAAAAGGGAAGCTCAGCACAGTCGGAAGTTACGTGAGTCACAGGGACGCTGAACCAATGTCACCAATCAGTAGATTTAGCAAACGGCCAATAGCTGGAGTACACGCACGTACGCACATGGCGAGCGCTTGGCACAGCGTATCACCAACGCGCTTCCGCGTATCTCCGGCAACATACCTTTACATACAATCTGCGCACAGTCTCGGGTCATGATTTTTTTATTCAATCAATTATACTACTGTGATGAAACTGCGCGTGTCGTGTCGATTTGATCATGCCTATATTGGCGTGTCTTGTTCTTCTGAGAGTTAACAATTTATGTAAATTGGTAGGTCTAGTCGCGTCCACAGCCTCCGGCTGAACATCAACTCTTCTGAACTGTTGCCTGTCGTGTGCAGCGACAAGCGAATATAAGTTCGTTCGGAGGGGAGCGGTTGATTGTTTCTGTTATCCATTTTTATTGTCTGGACTGCTGTTTCCGCTAGGCTGTCTGACGGTGCGTAGTAACGGGCAGCTTTTCACATATCTGATGTCGTCAATATGGAGGAAATATTGAAACCACTGATCAGTAAATACATAACCATTATTTGTCACTAATGCAAGTAGTGTACCGAACGTACTAAAATGTTCGCATTCATACCTTGGTTGTCCCCGTAGTGGTGTGCGTGAGCGGAAATACCTTAACCCATTTAGAGTGAGCATCGAGTACGAAAAAGAAACATCTCACCAAGTGGATCAAAGTAGTCTATACGTATCCGCACCCATGGCTTGTCGAACCATTTCCATGGGCTCAGCGGCAACAACAGGGTGTTTCCAAGTGTACCCTTACATGTTTCACAGCGTGTGACCAATTTTCTATGTCAATATCAATGCTGGGCCACCAAACATAAAAACGCGCGAGCCATTTGATTCCAATGATCCCCGGGTGACCTGCAAGCATTTCCTACAACACGCACCATCACAACAGAGGCGTTATAGTGGCTGTGAAATCCCATGGAAATCAGCCATCCTCGAGGCGTAGTTCTGTAAATCGGGTGAAGTAAGGTCACAGTTTCGGGTCCTCTTTGGAAGACCAAGCCTTTAACCTTGCATGCTGTCTCATGACGCATATCCGCGTTCAACACCGGCTTCCTGGTTAACTTAAATGGACTAATTCAGCCGGTTCCAATATACAATCGGACAGGTGATTTAACGGCAACCAGATTAAGACATCCACAGTCCCATTTGCGTTTTCATGAACATAGGATGTAGTGTAATTGCAGGCGGATGGCAGTAAGGCCCAACGATACATACGAGATGTCATCTAGATGCCTTTGCGGTCATTAAGTATACTGAAACTTCCTTCTGAGAGGTACTAGTGAAACATGGTAACGTCGAATATAACTGCCAACGTCTCCTTATTTAGTTGTGTGTAATTCTCTGCCGGCGCTGAGCTAGAGGCAAAAGCGATGTCTGTCCGATCTTGTGGGATAGTAAAGTGGTGATCCCTGATAAGGAGGTGTCGCAATGGAAAACGTACGGCCTTCTTGGGTCAAAATGTGCTAGCAGGTTGGCCTTGCCCGCCAATTCCCTGACCGCTGCCACTTGGCGTTTTTTCGAAGTAAAGCGTAAGTAAAGTAAAGTGTAGTAGTGGCCAGGCCAAGTTGGAAACGGCTGTAATATATCACCTAATAAAAAAGAACTACAGCTCACTGATGTTAACTGTTATTGGAGAGTCAATAATGGGCTGAATTTTCCCCCTGGTGGTTTCAAACCATACGCATCCCAACGAGATCCAAGGTACTAGACACTGTCAGCGAAAAATACACATTCAGTTTCTCTCAGCTTTAGCTCATTGCCTTGGAGACGTTTCAAAACCGTCGCAAGTGATGTCATGTGTACGCGATCAGTGCGACCAGAAATTAAAATGTCATCAACCAAATCGTCAACAATCCTTTGAAATATTGTTAAATGCTGAATATACTCTGAATGGGAGCCTGTTATAGTGCGGTTGAACCATGCGCGTATTGATGTTCGTTATTACCCTAACAGATACATACAATTTTAGCTAGCAGTAAGCGTGGCTTAAATCAGGTTTGGAAAACTTCTGGCCCACAGAATATGGTAGTGTTCCGATGTTGCCGCTTCCTTAACCGCCTGTTTATAGTAACCATAAATAAGGATTGTTTCATCGGGTTTCTGTACAGGAACAATCGGTGCGGTACAAGATGAGTGGTGCCAGGCAGTAAAATTCCGTCTTTTAAGAGACGGCTCAACTTTCGGACGGATAACAAAAGACAAGTTCTTCGCTTTTGAAAACTTCGGCTGGGAGCTCGATCTGATTGAAAGAATGAAAGCACGCAGTTTACTTCACAATGTTTCGTCAAACACGCAAGCACACATCCTCAACAATGAAGGGACGTCTGAAATATGATTCACTCTTTTGACGGTTTGAAGTAGCTCAGGCATATGTATGGGCCAGCTTCTGCCAACCAAGTTCGGTCAATCACTGTTTACAACAATTAACAGAAGAGTCAAGGCATGCACCCACGGGTAACCTTCATTTCGCACGTTCCCAGTACATCGAATGATTTAACAGCGTAAGAACCTAGAGTCGGGATCAACGGCAGGTCGAGTAGTGCGCGATTGTTGACCAAAGTGACTGAAGATCCCGTGTCGATTTCTAGGCACACCGGTTAGACTTCGGTCTACAAGTCCGCAGTGTATCAAGGTATTCAGCGCACATGCAACGTGGTAGTATGCAAAATCGAGTAATATGTGTTCTCATCGGAATTCTCCACAGCTCGGACATTATTTGTGCGTTGTGAGCCACGACGTGAAAGCACTGTCGAACGACAAACACACGCAAGATGTCCGACTTTGCCGCACTTGTACCAAGTACATTGTTTGTCATCAGCTCAGTGGTAGAGCAGCGGACCGGTAATTCGTTGGACCAGGGTTCGATTCCCCATCGAGGCAGATTATTGTGTGCAGTTTATTCGTGACTTCTACTTTCTACGTACAATGTGTATGTGAACAATGGGGCCATGTACCGTTTGTCGGTAAATTTACAAATTTATTTAATTTACTTACATGTCTTTCGCCACGTCTGTAGCACCTAAAGGAGCGTCTGTTGTTCGGTGACAACCGTGGTTTGACCGCGTGAATTAGGTCTGAGGAGTGATCGTGTCTGTATAGATGAAGTGTTAGACCACACTTACTCTATGTCAGATTGGTGCTCACAGAATGTTTACTTCCACCGAGTCCAGACTACAAGAGATGGCTTAGAAACCGTTCCTCCTAAACGGGTCAGGCGGAGTAAGGTCGCCGATAACGAATAAATGCTGGTATAGACTCAGTCGCCAAAATCAGTCCGCGCGTGCGGAACTAACACGACATTTGCGGTGGTAATGACTCGTTACCCAAACGACCCAGAGGTAACAGAACAGACCGAACTGATAGCATGCGTGGTGTATTATGACAAGAACTATGTAAAGCGCATCGATCATGTAGTTGAGAGTAACTTGCCAATGAGTGAGCGATAGATAGACTTTTGTGTATATACATATGGACTGCCAATGCTGGGTCTGTGAACATCTGACCAGCGATAGTGATACATACGCCACAAACTCAAGGCTATCATACTATACCACAGCCGCGATCTCAAGTCCAAGTTCAAGTGGAACTGGAACGGTATAAAAATCCAGTGTGTTTCTTCCTGAGTACGCCATTGAACGGAGAATAACCAAAACACCTTAAATTGTTGGTGAACCTAAAACGAAACATCCGAGCTACAACCCGGTAAAACAATTAATGCCCATGTGTCCGGCATTAACAATCCCCGGTATGCCGGTGTCGTGGGATAAGAGTAAGGAATACAAACCAAGAAGAGAGAAGTGAAGGATAGCACTGAGGTTTAAAAGAAGGTAAAAAGTAAGTTTGAAAGAAGAATTCCATTACGAAAGGAGTAAATTTAGAGTTACTACTCCAGAGGCTTTTACTATCAATGCTCTAATCACGGCCTCTTGAGATGAGCTCCAGCGTTCGATAACTCGGTACGATAAATGGGTATGTGCCTTAATCCGGTCGGAGAGCGGTTTGTGCAGTTTGTTGGAGTGGTCCCAAAGATAAGATAGCTTAGTAGAACTAAATGGCACAGATAATTCCGGACTGAGATTTTCCGTAAGAATGCGGTAAGTAGAAATAAAATCCTCACGAACCCCCCGATTGTGTATTCCAAACCTAAGTAGACGCTCAGGATACGGCTGTCCCCGTAACATCTGGAATAACCTATTACCGACTCGCAACACCTTT